ATAATTTAAATAGTTTTTTTTATGTTTTTGTTAATTTGGTTGTCGTTGTTGTTTTTCTTTTTTGCCGTTCGTAAAACACATCCATCATTTAAATAAAATTTGTTTAAAATAAATTTTTGATCACCTCTCAAAAATGCTTTAGAAACGTTTTTCCCACTCAGGTTACGAAATTCTGATTTTTTAAATAATTTTCAAATGAGTTGCAAGGATTTACTTCGACGAAGAAGATAATCCTGGCGCGTGTTAATATTTTATTAGTACGTTGACGCCTTCGAAAACTTGAAATATTTTATTGGCGATCAGAAAAGTAAGCGCATGTAGTGGCAACATTTGAATGAGAATTAACAATGAAACAAACAAGAACAAGTAATTCGAATAATAACTCCTTAAATAAATGAGTAATTAATTCAAAATTATAAGCAATAAAATAGTGATGATGTGATTATATTATAGCTAGGTGGTCAAATCAATATAAGTAATCTTCATTCATTTATTCATTCATTCATTCATTTCTTCATTTCATTTATTCATTCATTTATTCATTCATTTAAGAAAACTTGCTTACTCGATCAACAATTCAGCATACAATTGAGCACGTGCTAGATTTTGAATAGAGGCCACAACATGCTCACCTGAGCCTGGCACGTTTTTTAACTTACAAACAACAAAATGACTATCAGCAAAGCAAAAAGATACAAAACAACATGAACAATATCCCACAAGGAGATACGCACCAACAGGAAAATGAAAACATACCTGTCAACCACACACAACACAACGCCTGTTGCACCGCATTGCATGCATTTCAATTCAACCACTAAGACAACATTTTGTCGAACAATGCACCTTTACTACTTGCATATGAACTGACTTTGACTTTGTAGGTGTGATGAAGTTGGATGTATGTTGTTAAATTATTAAATTTAGTTAGTATTTCATTAAACCAAACAGAAGTTACGATATTTATAAACACACATTAACCGCTTTCTGGCCATTTGTTTGTTGTTACCGCAGTGAACTTCAAATATTAACAAAACAAACAAATATTAAACAAACGGCGAACAAATAGACAAACATCATACCATGAACAAACATCAAACAAATATTAAACAAACAACGAACAATCAAACAAACAATGAACATACATCAAACAAACAATAAACAAACAATGAACAAACATATAAGTCGACCGGCAAAAACATGAGCACCTCCATACAGTCGACCACCATTCTAACTTTTAATAAAAAAATTCTTTTATCTGTTGCACACCCACACATACTCACGTACATACACACACACACGCACACACAGGCATACACCTTTAAACCAAACGTACAACATTAATATTCATGAATCAAGGGATCGTCAGTAGGAGGCAAGTTGTTCAAATCAAACAAACATGTTGGTTATAATATATATGTAATTTTATATGCTTATATACACAAATGTTTATAAACTTTATTCAATCATTGCGCATAACATTTTATAACAACACTAGCGATTCAAAAATTAAATATTTGATAATAAAACTGGTATTTTAATTGAGATTTCTACAATTTAATAATGATTTTAAGATATATTTCATCGTCATACAGCTGAAAAAGTGCTTACTGCTCACCTTAAACCAAAGAACATCAGTGTTGGGTTAGGTCAAAGTTTCAAAAATGAAATTCACATTCAAACGGTAAATGTAATTACAACTGGCAATTGCAGATCTACTTCATGTCGATACCATCATATATGTTTATTACAGTTTATATACTGATACACACCGTTTTAAATTTTATTGCTCTGGCTTCATACACGTGTACACTTTTAATTCATTCATCAAATTGCTGCACACAAAAATCACGTGACTTTTGAATACTAATGTGAGGTAGTAAGTATGTGCATCGTGCACAGCCCAGGCGCATACAAACATGCAAACTACCTGTCCATTGTTACACGCTGTCTGTACACTTCTAAAAATTAACGTGTCTGCCCAAGTTAAATTAATGTATTTGTGCATAAATAATAAGAACCAATCACTGATAAACAGTCAGCTGTTCAATTTAACCTGGAGTATATATAACCAGGTGCTTCAGTAGCACGTTAACTGTTGGTTAGTCGACGACGAACTCCTTGTGTCATGAGATTTTAAAGGCTTTTTAACAAAGAGGCAACGTTCCGTTGTTCTCGATATTCATTTTTTTAAATTTATTTTATAAATTTGCTGTTTTAATTAGAGAAGAAATATTTAAGTTTAATTTAAACTTGCTACAAATAACTTTTTCAAGTTATTTTAATAATTTTGAGTAGTAGTTGAAATTTTTTTAACTAACTTATTCCAAAATAATGTCGATATTTTAAGTTGATATTATTTGAAAAAAGACAATGAGGGGTTCTTAAATTAACTGGAAGTGAGAAAATTTGAGCGGGTGCTCTGCGGTTGAAGGGGTGGACGAGAAGTTAGGCTGGCTGGCTGTTGGTTGGCAGTCTGGGTTTAGGTTGCAATCGTCAATCTTGCTTGTTTGAGAAGAGTCTGCAGTGTTTTCTGTGCAAAAAAAGAAAAAAAATGAGGATAACAAGTGAGTGCACACTTTCTTTTTTTACGTTTTCAATTTTTTTAATTTTCTGTTTACTCATTTTTGTCTTAAATTTTTTTCTGTTGTGAGTAATTTTCAACGTTGTGAGAATACATTAATGTGATTAATGTGATTTCGACTGATGATTATGGAGGCCCACAGGGTGTGCTGATCTGTTGATGATGCAGTAGTGTAGCATCGCATGTTCACCTAATAATTTAACCATTGCATGCATGTCCACCCAATAATGTAAACAAAACAAACACGTTCATATATTAATTATAACTCTACCACTGGCAGATATTTTCCGTACGAGGTCACGTGCTCAAGCGCCAATTACATTGAATGCGCCATGTTTTCCGCCCCCGCCTCCCTTTCCACCATCATTATCTCCCTCCTCTTCAACACTATCGTCTTTACCACCATCATTACCATGCTCGCCATCGTCATCACCACCACTACCAGGCTCTCCTTCGCCGTCATCATTTCAATTATCGCCACCCATGTCACTAATTACATCTTACCATCAATCGTTATCGCCAACACTACCGCCACTACCCTCATCCACTTCACCACCACCACAATCATCATCCTTCTCACCACCACCCCTCCAAACGTCTTCTTCCACCCCACCACTCCAATCGTCATCAGCCGCCAAATTATCAACAAAGGCATCGACAAAATCGTCGACAAAAACTTCAACAACAATAACCACCAATACCCTGCCTGCCACCTCCCCAGCTCACATGGTGGGCCAACAACAGCAACAGGTAAATGGCGCTCCAGCAACGATGAACGGAAGTCACGTGGGTGTAAACGTCATCGCTTCATTCTTTCATAGTCACGTGGGCAAGAAAAAAATGAAACGACACGACGGATGCATGAGAGAAGGATGTCAGTTCATTCTTTCGTTTGTTTATTTATTCATTCATTTATTTATCCAGATATTCATTTATTCAATTCGTTCGTTCATTAATTTATTTTTCATTTTTGTAAGATTATTATTGTTTGACATTCGTGTTCAAATGCCACGTTGAAAGTTAAATGATGAAATAGTAAATGAAAAGTTATTTGTGGACACGCGGGAGCATAAAATTGATGAGCATGAGTGGAATGCGATGAAAGATTATAGACTGACAACAATCGAACAGCCGACAGATTAGTCTCGCTTGCAAATGCAACGAACTTGTTTGCATGAAAAACCATCAAAGTTATATAAAGCATGGCGAACCGAATGCTTCTATGATACTGATTATAATGAAAACTCTTCAAAATTTGAAGCTAGCAGTAATTATTTTTAAGTTTGTAAGATTTCAGTTTTTTACAATTTCAAATTAAAAGAAAACCTCAAAAGTGGCGTTGATTCTTGGTCAAATCGTTGCAATGATTGCAACTGGACTGGCCAACATTTCCTACTCTTCCTTCCCAGCAAAATGAAATCTCTAAACATAGACATGTTTCGTACTGGTAATGAAATTAAAATTAATAAAATCCATTAAGATAGGAATGAACAAATATTGACTATTCGCTGATGCGGACAAAAAATATTGCCCGCCGGATGCTAATAAACAGAAACACAAAGGGGGGAACACGTGAACCAACGAACAAACGTCAAACTTGAGTGTAACAATCCTAACGTATTACACAAATGGTAACAATTTCAATCATTTACTCAACTGTAACGATGTGCATTGAAAATGAATCAGTTTCCATAGAATGAATTTATTAAAAGTATGTGAACTGACAAATGGCACGCACAAATCAAGAAAATAATCTGAGTGGATGAAGCAGGCCTCAAGAAAGACATACATTACCTTACCAGCATTGTTAAATAAATAACAACTACAACGTATTGAATAAACTATCGCAACAAATATAAAGTATTGCAACAAATCTCATCAATTATGATAAATATAAGCCACAGCAATAAATATAAAAATAATTTTAAAAAAACCTGTGCAGATGACTCGGCCATAGCCAAGCTGAAAGTCACGTACTGGGACAACTATCGTCTGGATGTGGCGGTTTGTATCTTAACGACCAATTATTATTATCGTTATTATTATTTTAATATTATTATAATTATTATCAATTGTACCGCCTGTGGTTATGTGTGTTATAATATCGGGCTGTTTGTTCGTGCTGCTGCGGAAGCGACCTGAGGATTGCTTTCGCGTACTCTTGTCAGCGTTTTCTCATATTTTGTGATGTTGTGTGTTGAGTAGGCCCTGGTGGAACAACGGGCTCATTTGACGTTTCAGTGTCTTTTGTTAATTATTTTTTCGATTGTTTCATTGTAGTTTGGCTCAGTTATCAGCATTTTCAATGCATTGACAATATTTCATTCACATTTGAACACAAGTAGCAAAAACGTTAAGTGAGCAAACTTCATAAAAGTGAGACTTGTTTGTAAATAAAAACCAGGCTGACACGGGGATGTCCCTAAGTGACTTTGAAGGCCTGAAGACCATCGGCACTGGATCGTTCGGCACGGTGAAAGTAGGCAAGTTGAAGAGCACCGGGGAGGTCTTCGCCATCAAAATTCTTGGCAAACATCGAGTCAGTGGACAGTGTTAATCTTTTATTTCTGTTTTGTCAAACTGTAACCTATAATTTAATGCAAAAATGAATAAGTTGAATTGTTGCCAACACTCTGAGGATGAGATCTGTTTGATAATGATCGTTAAAAATTATGTAAGCTGGAATGAAAAATTTTTATCAAACTTTAATATTCTAAACAAACAAAAATGTTTAATTATACTAAAAAATGTAACCAGAATTATTTTTGTTTAACTTTAAAAGTAACGCTAAAATGACGTTAAAATGATCAGATCATGAGGGCAAACCAGGTGCAGCACACCATCAGTGAGAAGAGGATTCTGAGGTCCATGGACTTCCCATTCATTGTCAAGGCCTTCCACCACTTTTCAGTCAGTTTCTTTCTCTTTACCGTTTACATTCGCATATATTGTACATAAAAGTAATTTCGCAAAGTGTTAAACAATGTGAAAATATTATTTGAAATATTTAAACTTGCGGACGAGAATAAAAAATAATTCAAATAACGGCTGCATTTTTAGATGTTAATCAATTTAAAGTAATTTTGAGAATTGATGCCAAAATGAAACTGACTTGACATTACAGGACAACGCCAACCTCTACATGGTTATGGAGTACTGCCCTGGTGGAGAGCTCTTTAAGCTGATCCAGAGATACAACTTCTTCTCGTTAGTTTGTTTTTATTGTTTGTTTAAACGTGTTTGAAGTACAAAAGTAGCATAGGTTTATTTTATTAGTGTCGGCGAAATGTTATATTTGAGGTTACGTGCATGGGATATTTTTGCATCAGAGCATAATAACGTACGAACAAAATAACGATTCTTGTATGTAATTATTTAATGCGAAATGTCATCAACAATAAAAATTATCGGATGACTAAATCAATTTTATCTGCAAGCAGTCACGAAGGCAGTCGGCATAGATCTTGCTTAGCTTCTTGTAGCTTATTTAATACAAACATCTTTCCATTAAATCATGTTCATCGCTGCATGCGCGTGAACGAGAGGCGTGTGTATTAATAAAAGGAGAAGCCTGCCTATTAACTTGTTTCACGCTCTCACACCAGGCCATAAAACATCGGCACTCCGGCTTACTTAGTTTCATCATTTGTTACGAGTGTAATCAATTTGTTCGGCTGTGACTTGCACGTTGTAATATTTTATTTAGATAGATATTTAATTTTACTTGCAATAAATGTTGAAATTTGCAATAGCTTCCGCTATTTTTTTCAACTTTTGTTCATCGAATTTATATCAGCGCAATAAAATTATCGCCATAAAACCATTGGGAACGATTGAAGACGTTGTTGTTTTTCTTGACCATCAGGGAGACGATGGCCAAGTTCTACGGGGCCCAGGTGGTCATGGCTTTTGAGTTCCTACACGAAGTGGGCGTAATATACAGAGATCTCAAACCGGAAAACATTCTCATCGACGCTCAGGGATATATAAAGGTAGATGGGTGGATGGATGCATGGATGATGCATGGACGGACGGATGGGTGCATGGATTGGTGAATGATTGATTGAGTAGAAATTTAATCAGTATTTTATTTATAAATTAAAATAAAACAGTGATGTTTTACTTACAGTTGGTGGACTTTGGACTGGCGAAAGAGACGAGAGCCTCGACACACACCATGTGCGGCACGCCTGACTACCTGGCGCCTGAAATGCTGCAAGGAAAGGTTGCGCCCTCTTTTCATTTCACTAAATAATTTTAATTAGAAAATTGAAGTAGCGCAATTCTCAACCAATCAATGGATTGAACACAGGAACACAAAAATGTTTTGTTGTGTTTGTTACTCGTTTGCAATATACTAAAACGCACGTGTAAATAAGATAGATTGATGTGGAATTTGCCAGAAGCGTGGGCAGGGGCTTTAGAATTAGGTTAAATTGGACAGAATCTCTATATAAATTTGTGAAAAATTTATATTGAAAATTATTTCAGAGACACATTTTTTTAACGTAAGCCCCTCCAACTTATTTTTGGCGAAGCAAGAAAAATTCTGATAAAAAATATTCAACTTATTAGACCAAACCCAAAAAGTGTCCACCCTCATTTCTTTCTTAACGATGCTCGTTTCTTGTCAACGCTTGTCACTTGGATGTTATGAGAATTCTCGATTATTTTTCTGTCTCATGCATTCCTAAATTTTTTGTATTCGCGAAAAAAATTTACTCCAATGAACCTGTCTATCACATGGATAATGTGGCATAATCACAACGCATATGCATCATATTAGCTCATTCACCTTGCTACTCGTATTTAACTTTTAACATTACATTTTTTAATGTTTTTTATTCACCTTTTTTTTGTTCAAACAGCAATAAACAAACATAAACAAACAAATGAACAAACAAACACAAACAAACAAATAAACAAACAAACAAATGAACAGACAAACAAACAAATAAACACACAAATGAACGTAGAGTTACGACAAGTCGGTGGATTGGTGGGCTTTGGGCGTCCTGTTGTTCGAGATGGTAGCAGGTTACATACCTTACTATGCGGAAACCAACACGGAGAGCTATGCAAAAATATTAACAAAGAAGGTTCTTACCTCCCGTTTCTATGTTGTATGTGTGGTGTGCGTACATGCTCCGAAAGTATGTGTTTGTGTACGTGTATGTTCATATGTGTAGTGTTCGTTCGTTGTGTTGTGTTATTGTATGCTGTAACATTTGTTTTGAAGAAATTCGTTAATTTTCAATCAAACTCTAATTAATATATCTTTAATAATGTTCTGTTTACTGAATAATTGAAACTATTGCTGAAAATTCTGTCGCCAGGTGTTTATTCCAGTTAAATTCAGCAAGGAGTTGGGAGATTTGGTGCGCCATCTACTGAAAAAGGATCCCAAATGTCGGCTGGGCTGCACTATCAATGGCGCAAAAACTGTGAAGATGCACTCGTGGTTTGACGACGTCAGCTGGTTGAAGATCCTGGAAAAGAAGGTGCAGTTTCGTGCCATTATGATAAAATTTCGTTAAAACTGTTGATATAATTCTAAGTTTAACAATCACCTGTCTACTTGACATTGTTTATGGGAATGGAGCAGTTATTTTTCTAGTATGTAGATAAGTAGGAGGTAGGACGTGACTGGATGAAATATTTTCCTCTCCAGGTGATTCCACCGTACGTGCCAGTTCTGAAGAGTGACATGGACACCAGCAACTTCGATCCATACGAAGACGTTGAAATTGACTCCGCCCCCTTCTGCGTCTACTACAACAATTTTGCTGCTTTTTATTAATTCGTGTCATTATTAATATTTATTACCATAATCATTATCATTATTATTAGTAGTAGTATTATTATTACAATTTTTATTGCCATCATTTAGTCGAAATGTCTTGTATTTCTATTGTTATTTATATATTTTTATTTCATTAGATAATTTTAAAAAATTACCAAATTATTTCAACGTGCTGTAATCTTAATGCATTTGATTTTTTACACGAAACATTTTGTTACAAATATCACTAACTCTGTTATGGGATATTTTTTTTAATGAGTGGAAGAAAGCTGATTGATTCACGCCACGACCGACCAAATATGTTTGTTGCACTGTTTGAGAAGGTTTAGCGTTTGGTTGGAAGTTGTCCAATGATAAACTGATAGTATTTATATAAATATTACATTTAATTATTTAATTTAATTACATTTAATTATTATTACAATTATTAATTTGACTTGAAATCGTCTAAGGCAAACAATTACTAATACTGCAAATATTATTACATTAACCTCCTTTGACGAACTAATCTGTAATTGTTTCATGTTCAATTCTTCAACAAATAAATAAATATAAACAAAGAAATAAACGTGAACATGTTCTATTTTACTTCTATACTGTATACAATGTATGTATATAAATATAGATTGAAGTTCTCTATTTTAACAATACTCAATTTTATTTTTAAAAAAATAACCTAGACGACTCGGCGTCTACTTTATAACGCCGTAGAATAAAATTTTATATTTTATTTGATGAGTTTTTTATTAATTTGGAAAATTAATAAAAATAAATTCGTATAACATTTTATGCATTTTTATACGCCTGTTAGACTTCTGCTTTTCAGAACAAATGAAGAAGTCCCGAACTCATAAACGGCGTCTATGAATCTTTTTGATCGAACGATGTAAGCCTACGTGAATGTTTTAAATGTAAAAGAAAATTTAAAATTTTTTTCTAATTTTCGAATGTACTTAATATCATCAGAAACGGGAAAAAAATAAATCAAAAATCTTTCAAATCGTTAAGTCGTTCTTGCAAACCTTTTCCGGCAAACCGTGTCTATTTTAGCACAGAGAATCAGTGCAAAAACAAAGTTCTATTAATACATTTATATTTGTAAAATGAAATGAATTAAACAAAAGTAAATATGATATTTGATATTTCCTAATAGTTTTTTAGACACAAATATATTTATTAATGTAATTTTTAATAAAATTGATACAAGACAAAACATCAAATGTAATGTAAACAAAACACTTCAGTCTTGGTTGCATTTGCATTTCCCATCAATTTAAAACTTATTTTGTATTCCTTTATTTGTTTGTTTATTTTAGTAATATTAAAATTTAACAACATCTCATACGTGGTTGCGTAGTTTAGTTAAAGTTACGACTTAAGACTAGTTTAATAATAACTTCTAGATTGCTCAATCATTGCATCATTAGCCTACCTACGTTGGCTTGCTTACAATGTTCCTGCGTCGCATCTAAATGTTTAAATTGGTTTGTCTATTAGTTTGTTCGTTCGTTCGTTCGTTCGTTTGTTCGTTCGTCTGTTTGTTTTTTCGTTTATTTTAATTTGTTGAAATGCGAACTTTTGTATCTTGGAAGAAACGCTGATATCCAGCCGTT